GCCTGGGCTTTGCCTGGACTCTAGGCATTCTAGGTCCAGATTATGTTTCTTAATATTTACATTAATACAGGGAAAGCAGTTCACTCAAAATACCTTAGAATGTAAATACTTTTATTTTTTAAGGACATGCAGTGTACCTACTACCCGATGGAAAAATAATTTCTATGAAACAAGATAAATAAATGTAAATATTTTATTGCATATCCAAACATCTATCAAGGTCACAGGAAGTAACTTTGGAATTTCTTATGGAATCCCCATTCTTTAGTATATTTAGACCTTCATACAGGCAGAAAAAAACAGAATAGAAATCAGATCACTTTCTGGACAATGTTATTTTACAAAGAATCACAAAAATCCCTAAATAATATTGGAGTAGGATGAAAGGGAATTGCTTGCAGTAAGTTTTGTGGTAGAGATATTTCTAAAATCAAGTGATAACCTTCTTCCAAGGCTTAGTTTATTTCTCGCAGTAATATAGATTCCTGGTATTTAAATTTGAATATGAACATGACAGTAAAATCATAGCTCTTTTATATATGATTTTCTTATTATTCCGAGCTTAATAGTGCTAGATAGAGGAGAACTCAAAAGCCTAAAACTTAATAATTGCTAATAACTCCTGAAACAGTATTCTGTGAATCACTTTTTGGTTTTTATTTTTTATTTGATGAAAACACTACTGAAATTTAATTACAAATACCTACTTAAAATGTTTAGTATATGAAAGGAGAATTCCGTGATAGAGGAGCCTGGTATAGTCCATGGGGTCACAAAGAATCGGACACAACTGAGCAACTAACACCTTTAATTTCAACTACTTAAAATAGATACAACATGAGGAGTGTGCTGCTTTACTTTCTGGAGTTCCAGTTCCTTGAGATATATATTCAGAGTTTATAAATATTAAAGCAAATAAGAATCTTTTAAAACATCATTTCTGCCATGACTTAGAAACATGTACTCAGATTTTCATTTTTTGATTGTTACCCAACTTAAGCTTCAGAAAAATTAGTCAACAGCTCATCAGCTGAAACTCTAGCAGAGATAATTTGGCCATCTACAAGAAGGTGTAAACAAGATAATTGAAACAAGATAAAAGATAATTGAAAAAGGAATGTTCAGCACTTTCAAGTGGAATTTGGCTTCCAAAATGGGAGGAAATTTTATTCATAGTGTCCAGTGTTTGTTATATATATTAGAAAGATTTAGACTGTGAAGAATCTCCATTTGAAAAAAGATGAATGCTGTGTATAAGGTAGTGGATGAATATGGCTCTTTCACAGCATTGTGCTCATTTACCTAATATGTTAAGATAGTCTCTTTTGGAGCTTACCTTTACCAAATCTAGCAATTAAAATTCCCAAATCTTTCTTTAGAGAACTAAGTGAGATTAAAGAGTAATAAGTAAAATTTACCTTGATGGTGAATATTCTCTTATTTGTACCTCCAAACAAAAATGGGACATAAAATGTATTCATGTCAGTGATTTTGATGTCTTAAAGACTAAACTGAGAGAAACAAAATTGGATATATGAGTCAACTCAGTTGGTGCTGTTGGAGAAAAAAGGACCCACAGGCCCAGAAATTAATAAGAGAAATATCATTTAAAGGTTTGCATTACAGGAGTGAAAGATGGGCATGCTTGCCTATCAGAAGCTGGGGACCATTCACCCCACTTCTTTAGCTCATCCAATTTGTGGATTTTCTTTATATACAACTAAGACACAGAATCAAGGAAGACAAAGACCTTGATGCTGGGAGAGATTAAAGGCAGGAAGAGAAGGGGACGACAGAGGCTGAGATGATTGGATAGCATCACCGACTCAGTGGACATGAGTTTGAGCAAGCTCTGGAAGATGGTGAAGGACAGGGAAGCCTGGTGTGCTGCAGTCCATGCGGTTGCTAAGGGGGTCAGTCATGACTAGACAAAAGAACAACAATAACAAAGACAGAGATTCATTTTGTGAACATTACTTGGGGAAGAACAATCTGAGATAGAAGATGAAATTTAAGGAAACTCAGAATAGAGGGGAAAGTGGAGTGTGCCATGTTAGCAAAATTTCAGAAGCTGGAAAGGGCACTGACTACATGAAGGATTCAGGATTTCCCTTAACATAATAATAACACATGTAAAATCTATGTGCTGTGCTAAGTCACTTCAGTCATGTCTGATTCTTTGTGACCCCTGTGGACTGGAGCCTGCCAGGTTTCTCTGTCCTTGGGATTCTCCAGGCAAGAATACTGGAGTGGGTTGCCATTTCCTTCTACAAAGAATCTTTCCAACCCAAGGATAGAACATGTCTCTTATGCCTCCACCTACATTGACAGGTGGGTTCTTTACCACTAGCACCACCTAGGAAGCCCCTTAAAATCTATAAATCCAGGGAAATAAAAGATTGTAGACTTTTAGAACTAACACCCAAAAAAGATGTGCTTTTTCCTATAGGGGACTGGAATGTAAATTAGGAAGTCAAGAAGCACCTGGAGTAACAGGCAAACTTGGCCTTGGAGAACAGAATGAAGCAGGACAAAGGCTAATAGATTTTTGCCAAGAGAACACACTGGTCATAGAAAATACCCTCTTCCAAGAGAAAACTTCCAAGAAAAGACTCTATACATGGACATCACCAGATGGCCAACACCAAAATCAGATTGGTTATATTCTTTGCAGCCAAAGGCAAAGAAGCTCTATACAGTCAGCAAAAACAAGACTAGGAGCTGACTGTGGCTCAGATCATGAACCCCTTATTATCAAATTCAGGCTTAAATTGAAAAAACTGGGGAAAATCACTAGACCATTCAGGTATGACCTAAATCAAATCTCTCATGATTATACAGTAGAAGTGAGAACTAGATTTAAGGGACTAGATCTGAAAGACACAGTGCCTGAAGAACTATGGACCAAGATTCATGACCTTGTACAGGAAACAGGGAGCAAGACCATCACCAAGAAAAAGAAATGCAAAAAAACAAAATAGCTGTCTGAGGAGGCCTTACAAATAGCTGTAAAAAGAAGAGAAGTGAAAAGCAAAGGAGAAAAGGAAAGATACACCCATCTGAATGCAGAGTTCCAAACAATAGCAAGAAGAGATAGGAAAGCCTTCCTCAGCGATCAGTGCAAAGAAATAGAGGAAAACAACAGAATGGGAAATCTAGAGCTCTCTTCAAGAAAATTTGAGATACCAAGGGAACATTTCATGCAAAGATGGGCTCAATAAAGGACAAAAATTTTATGGACCTAACAGAAGCAGAAGATATTAAGAAGAGGTNGCCTCCAACTAATAAAAATATTTGAAAAAAAATTAGAAATAAAAAGCAGATACATTGCATTGCCTGCAAAGATCCATCTAGTCAAGGCTCTGGTTTTTCCAGTAGTCATGTGTGGATGTGAGAGTTGGACTGTAAAGAAAGCTGAGCACTGACTGAAGAATTGATGCTTTTGAACTGTGGTGTTGGAGAAGACTCTTGAGAGTCCCTTGGACGGCAAGGAGATCCAACCAGTCCATCCTTAAGGAGATTAGTCCTGGGTGTTCATTGGAAGGACTGATGTTGAAGCTGAAACTCTAGTACTTTGCCCACCTCATGCAAAGAGCTGACTCATTTGAAAAGACCTTGATGCTGGGAAAGATTGAAGGCAAGAGGAGAAGGGGACGACAGAGGATGAGGTGGTTGGATGGCATCACCGACTCAATGGACATGAGTTTGGGTCTGGGAGTTGGTAATGGACAGGGAGGCCTGGTGTGCTGCAGTCCATGGGGTCACAAAGAGTCGGACACGACTGAGCGACTGAACTGAACTGAGTTGAACTGAGACTTTTTAATAAGTTACAGTGTTTGTCTGGGTTGCAAACTCTAGGGATTGCTTTTGTGGTTCCAATTTTTGACTTTTCAAAAAAATCACTTTTAAAAAAGTGATTCTAGAGGAACTGGTTTCTTCATGCACAACCTCTGTCATTTCATATGTTAACTCTCATAGTCCCATCAGAGAGTAGAAAGCCCTTACCACTTACATGAATGTGAAGATTTCCTGATTTCTCTGGAAATGGTCTGTGAATTATACCAATTTAAATCTCTTATACTTTGTTATTATTAATATTAATAATTAAGAGAGGGAAGCTTTATAGCAATTTGTCAAGATCACTAAAACATTATCTTTCTTCTGAACTTGAGATTTTAAAGACATCATAAAGGCATTTAAAAGTGAATGTAGCAATATTTAATGTTTGCCATATATGTAGAAAATATTTTTCTTACACGGTAGCATTTAGTGAATTATTATGTTGTATTAATAGGAAATTTCTATTTGAATATGAGAAAAATGTTGAAAAAATTCTTAGGTGATAATTATGCTATAGCAAACTATTATATTATGACTTGGAATGGGGAGAAAATATGGAGAAAAAACACCAATTATAACATCTCCATATAATGGCAAGTATTTGGTGAAAAACTCTCCATGATGAGTGTGTACTTAACACATAGGAGAAACTACAGTATAAAGACTCATAAACTGAAGATATTTTTACATTTGTTTTTTATCACCATTGTTCTCTTTTTTTTTATTCTAACACTCAAAGATCTCAGGGATTTGCATGTTTTAAATTAATGAAATTTGAAGTCTAAAGCAGTTGAGACACTAACAGTTATTTTGATATTAGTTTCATGATAACATCATTGACGTTATTTTGAGGAGATAATATGCTCATTTTTCACTTTGCTAACTCATACTTACATATCATAATCACCAAATGCTTTCAATACTTATATTTTGGGGATGTATTACTCTTTTTAAAATTTGTTCATATATATTGCTTTATTTTAAAAATGAAAAGTATACCATTAGAGAAAGGCATTTTGAAGCTAAGCTTGATATAGACTTGTTTTGTACTATTTTAAATCTTCACTAATAAATAAAAATGTACCATTTTCAAATATGACACTGTAAGCATTTTATCTGAAAGTAGTGAAATTAGAGTTGATTGTGGCTTATCTCCTCAGATCAATTTACAAAGAAAAATGAGAGTTACTGGTGTGATTACTCAAGGAGCCAAGAGGATTGGAAGTCCAGAGTATATCAAATCCTACAAAATAGCCTATAGTAATGATGGAAAGACTTGGACAATGTACAAAGCGAAAGGCACCAATGAAGACATGGTAAGACTTCCATGTCATGCTTAATTTGAACATAATCTATCTTATGTAATCTATTACCAAGTGACTACTACATATTCAGAAGTAGTCTTATGTTTTTGAAAATAAATTTATGATTTTTTAATAGAACCAGTGTTGTGGAGAGGGTAAGGAGTCATCCCAAATTATCAGTGTATAGTAGCGACCATTTAAATCTTCCTCAGATTTTAATTGGTGGGCCTATAAACACTTTATCACAAGGTTAGCATAGTCCTATGCATGAGAGTTAAGTTTTATTTCAACAATAGTCAACTTTCAATTTCATTTTATTGCTTTGACAGATCATCCCTCTCCTTAAATAAATACAGATCAAAACTGTTAATTTTAAAGAAAAAATAAAATTTTTAAAGAGAAACACCAAGTTATAGAAAAGTATCTTTCTATACTTAATATCTTAATATTGGAAGAAATTTTTATTATTCAGCAGAATAAAGTATTTTAGAGGAATATTTATCTGTGTGCATCTTCCATAAGGATATTCAGTATCTCCTTTGCCCTTTCATAGATTTCCAATTTTTTAATTAATTTTAACACATATTTCTAATTTAAAAAAATCAGCACTGTAGCTCATTCCATTTAAAACTGAGTCATTAAAATAGACTGATAAATCTTATGAAAGATTTTTTTAATTACCTTATTAAATGAATGTAAATAGGTTTTTTGATTACTGGGTTATATAAAAGATAAAGTGAAATGAGATTTAAAGGAATTAAAAATAACACATTTTAGAGATAAATTGGTTTTTCACTGGAGATATATATAAAGAAATATGAGTCTCTTATCCAATGATCTGGGACTTGAGGACTCAGGCCCTAAAGCATCATAAATTTGATCACAGCTTTAGAGAAACTAAGTGGTCAGGAAACAACATTGAAGCTTGGTCCCTAAAACAACATATATAATTACTAAGTAGCAAAATGAACAGATAGACCCAGATCCCAGACTAAGTTGAGGAGGCATTTCCCTTTAGAAGCATTCCATTCTAAAGGACTGGACTTAAACTGATAAGCCCAATATAGGAGGGTACAGATGAAACCATAGGTTACAGTGGTTTACAGCTTTAATGAGGATTCTATCTATAGGTTTTAGATTTGCTTCTGATGGCAAAGTAAGCGAAAGTTGCTTAGTCATGTGCGACTCTTTGCGACACCATGGGCTGTATAGTCCCTGGAATTCTCCAGTTCAGAATACTGGAGTGGGTAGCCTTTCCCTTCTCCAGGGGATCTTCCCAACCCAAGGATTGAACCCAGGTCTCCCGCACTGCAGGCAGATTCTTTACCAGCTGAGCCACAAGGAAGCCTGATGGCAAAGTGCACTCTGAATGCTCCAGACCGCTAAATTATTTAATCCAATCTTTGAGAGATTTGGTTGGGTAGGATATAGGGTCAATATTTGAAAATAGGTTTTTTTTTTTTTTAAAGCTGCAATTAATAATTTTAAACTGTTATTTCTTTATATAGGTATTCCATGGAAATGTTGATAACAACACACCCTATGCTAACTCTTTCACACCCCCCATAAAAGCTCAGTATGTGAGACTCTATCCCCAAGTTTGTCGAAGGCATTGCACTTTGAGAATGGAACTTCTTGGATGTGAACTGTCAGGTGAGTCTCATATTATCTATTTTTGTACTCTCTTTAAGGAAAACAAAGCACAATTGTATGTAGTGTGTTGCTAGCTTGCATTTTTTCAATATTCATAGATACTTATTTTTGCTACAAAACGTCTAGGGCTTGGTTCAGTGAGAAGGAGCAAGAGGGAAAGAGAAAAGATAAACAGGTTCTAAAACACACTACAGAATAGGATTAATATAGAAGGGGCAATGTATTTCTTTTAGTGGTCAAAGAAGATACAACCAATTTTTACTGGAAACTCTTGTCAAATTTAAATGTGTCTTTTTAATTTTAATAGCAACTATGATTTATGTTTTATGACAAAATTTCAGTGAAAATTGGAATCTGCCTGACCTCATAAATTGCAGTTACATTTAATCTATACAGCATAGAAAAGTAAGCTTTTTGTTTGTACATCTACCATAAGCATTTAGTTTCGTCTTTTTTTTTTCTTTAGGTTTTCCAAAACATGTACATTTATCATTGTTTCCAAGGAGACAATACTTTAAAAACCAAGATTGCTACTATAAATTCCTAGATCGTTATTATCTAGCAACTTACCTACTACCCAAAAAGTGGTTTCTAAACACAAAGATAACTACCAAAGGACTCAAATTTAAATAATCCTAGTCCTCCTGGAGCTTCAAAACTAGATATAAAAATGAAGACTTCATGACTGGGTCTCTCAGTTGTTAACTTTCAATCTAGCTAGATTCTGAACAAAACAGAAAATCTTGCCCAGGCATTTCACTGTGCTATATTTTTCATGGTGGTTCTTACATTTCTGTCATCAACATTTACAACTCTCTTTGTCACTATGGCCTGAAATTTTGTTGAAACTACTGTGTTTTTAAGAAAACTAAATAGCCATGTGTGTCCCACTTTTTAGTGTAACCTCCAAGTATGAGAGACTTTTATATTTACAGACATTCCATTTAGTTAAAAATAGGACACATCCCTGCAAAGAGACAACTGCGAGCATTTTATTCATTTCAAAAGGTTGCATGTAATGGTTAAAATGCACACTTTATATCTATTTACCTTCTTGGGTTTATTTGTGATGTTAAGAAAGGGAATGGTTTTGAAGGAAATGCAAGTGACGGTTCAAAGCAACCAAACTTTAAATGAACCCTTTTACATTCAAAGGAATTAGAGGCACTTGGGCAGATGAGTGAATCTATTTTAAGAATCACATTTTCATACTATATATGGGTTTCCTTTATGAAGCAATCAATGGTACAGATTTAGTACCATTAATTATCCCAATAGGGACGTTTTCCCTGTTTTGGTAATTCGAGCAGGCTTACTGACTACCCGTAAATCTGGCAGAATTATTGCCGCACAGTGTTTATTTTGCATGTGGCTGCATCACCACAGGCCAGTATCATCCTGAACTCATTCATCATAAAGCAATCAAGAGGAAGCCCTTGTGTGATGAAGTCTGCTGCAAGTTCTATGCTTTTTAGTTGGTGAACATCACCTTCCCCAATTTTTCAGTCTTTTGATTCATGAAGGCCAGTCTCAAACATGGCACAGTTTATACCCTTAAGATATGAATATGTTTTACTTTCAAGTTTGACATGAGGTTATACCTGACCCTTTATGGAGTTTTACATTTTCAGAAAGAAGTCATACCCCATCTCTTGACCCCACAAATTGATTTTTTTAAAGTGTATGCAGGGAATAATATCTCTTACGGCATGTTTATAAAAGCTAGGGCACCTCAACTGTAAAAATAATCAGTTGTGTTGTTAATACGTTATTCTGTTCAGCTATTGTCCATAACATGGATACACATTGTCCATGCTGGTGAAAGAGTTAATTTATATGTGTAAAATATTATGGATGAGAAGGAAAATTCATGGTCTGAGGCAAATTGGCAGGAGAGGCTAGCTATAACACTTGGCAATAAACAGTAACATAATATACCAGACTATTTCCCACAGTCCAGTGCAACATGTGAAGCCCGAGGCTGCCTTATAGGAGTCAATAAACTGTTATATGATCTCTCAGCACAGGAGATAGCAGTTAATCATTTCCCAGACACTTAAAAAAGAAACTTCCCCAATATTCTCTGAAAGAGATGTGACTTAAGATGCTTAGAATGAAATGGATCATGATCATAATTAGTAGAGGAATAATCATTCATTCATTCTTTAAGCAAATTATTCAGCACTTCCTCTGGGCTAAGTGGTGGACAATAAAGTGGACAATGAAATGAATTCTGTGGCTAAGCAGAAGTGGTCAAAGTAAAGGTGCTCCTTTTCTATCCAATACATCAAGAACTGTGTTATATCACAAAAGGAGAAAAACAAATATGTTTCTGTTCACTTGTGTCTCTTACAAGAACCAAGTAAGCAATTGTACAAAGTTCCCATGGCAAGGTAGGAAGAGGACAGAGAGTTGGTGGTGATGATAGATGAACAAGTCAGAAATCAGACTGACTATTATTATTATCAGTCATAATACAGAGAATGCATGTTAATTTAGAACTGTTTGAAGACAAGCAGCATGCTACTAAGACTTTAGAACTTTCTGGAATCTTTGAAATTTATCATGAATTTTTGAGGATATTAGCAGTTGGTCATGAATTTTTTTCTTTTCTAGAATTTATATTTAGAATATAGAACTATATATGAGACCTGGGGTATAGGTCTCCTATGACAGCAAGACTTGAGCTAAGACATCCAATTGGCTGAACCTCTCTGTCAATTTTTGTCATTTTGCATAGATAGGAGTTTCCTAGAATGTGCAGGTGAAGGCAAACATGGAAGCCCCTCAAGAAGGAAGAACTGATTTAGATTGACTAGAATAGAAAGCAAGTAATTGTAGTTAAGAATTAGTGTCATCAAAGGAGAGTGTAAGCCACCTCTCTTAGACTACACTTAAAATACTTAGTTTCAGAAACTGCAGTCAGTCATAATATATTCTTTAATACCCACTTATATGCCGACTTGTGGCCTTAACATTGTCACCTGTTGCAGTGAATTTTATGGAAATAATAAATCAGCTAACATTTGCTGAATACTAGCTACATGTCAGCACTGTTTCTAAATAATTGATGAACTACTTTTTAAAAATGCTTCTTTGAGGTCAATTTTAGTATCACCCCTCCAATCAAGAAACATCCACAAGCCTATTATCCTTCTCCATCAGAGTACAGATAGAATGAAAAACACAATCACAGAAAACTAACCAAACTGATCACATGGATCACAGACTTGTCTAACTCAATGAAACTATGAGCCATGCTGTGTAGGGCCACCTAAAACGGGTGGGTCATTGTGGACAGTTCTGACAAAACATAGTCCACTGGAGAAGGGAATGGCAAACCACTTCAGTATTCTTGCCTTGAGAATTCCATGAACAGTATGAAAAGGCAAAAAGATATGACACTGAAAGATGAACTCCCCAGATTGGTAGGTGCCCAATATGCTAAAGGGGAAGAGTGGAGAAATAACTCCAGAAAGAATGAAGGGGTGAGCCAAAGCAAAAACAATGCCCAGTTGTGGATGTGACTGGTGATGGAAGTAAAGTCCGATACTGTAAGAACAATATTGCATAGGAACCCCAAATGTTAGGTCCATGAATCAAGGCAAATTGTAAGTGGTCAAACAAGAGATGGCAAGAATGAATGTCAACATTTTAGGAATCAGTGAACTAAAAATGTGGGTTCTATGAAGACCTAGAAGACCTTCTACAACTAGAAAAAGATGTCCTTTTCATCACAGGGACTAGAATGCAAAAGTAGGAAGTTGAGAGATACCTGGAGCAACAGGCAAATTTGGCCTTAGAGTATGAAATTAAACAGGGAAAAGGCTAACAGAGTTTTGCCAAAAGAACCCACTGGTCATAGTAAACACCTTCTTCCCACAACACAAGAGAAGACTGTACATGTGAACATCACCAGAGGGTCAATACCGAAATCAGACTGCTTATATTCTTTGCAGCCAAGATGGGAAAGCTCCATATAGTCATTAAAAACAAGACTGGGAGCTGACTGTGGCTTTGATCATGACTTCCTTATTGCCAGATTGGACTTAAATAGAAGCAAATAGGGAAAACCACTAGACCATTCAGGTATGACCTAAATCAAATCCCTGATGATTATACAGGGGAAGTGACAAATAGATTCAAGTGATTAGATCTGATGGATGGAATGCCTGAAGAATTATGGGCAGAGGTTTTTGACATTGTACAGAAGGCAGTGATCAATGCCATCCCAAAGAAAAAGAAATGCAAAAAAGCTAAATGGTTTTCTGAAGAGGCCTTACAAATAGCTGAGAAAAGAAGAGAAGCAAAAGGCAAAGGAGAAAAGGAAAGGGACTCTGAATGCAGAGTTCCAAAGAATAGCAAGGAAAGATAAGAAGCCTTCTTCAGTGATCAACTGAAAGAAATAAAGGAAAGCAATAGAATGGGAAAGACTAGAGATGTCTTAAAGAAAATCAGAGATACAACAGGAACACTTCATGCAAAGATGGGCACAATAAAGGAGAGAAATTGTATGGACCTAACAGAAACAGAAGATATTGAGAAGAGGT